GCCCCCCAGGGCTGCCTGCCTGTGCCTTGCAATCTGCCCGGCCTCCGTTCACGACTCTCCGCTCTGCGTAACTGTGTCTCAAGCAATGAGTGCACCCAAACCAGCTCATGTGAGAGCGTGCAGAGGCACCCAAGCCCATCTTCTCCTAATAGCTTCTGATAAGTGAATGGCAGGCATCATCAAGAGATTAATTGGCCTTCGTGTGTTAATTAGGTGCATCTGCTCGCGTGTACCGCACGATAACCAACACGGCGGGGTGGGACAGGGAGCCAGGGGCCAGGCAGGGCCCTTTCCAGAGGGCCGGAGATGGTGGCAGTTTCCCCCAGCCCAGGACGTGGTCACCTGCACCCTGGGTCTGCACCGACGCCGTCGCGTGAGCCAGGGGAGGTTTATGTAACCCCAGCAGCGCTGGCAGGAGAGGCATTTTTCAAGGCGCTTTATCCACGTGCCCAGGAAAACGGGCTTCACCCCTGAAGCACCTTGTTCCCCCTCTCATAGCTCCCGCACTGCAGCCTAGGGTAGATCAAGCAGCCCCTGCTCCACTTGCCGGAGGAACCGTCAGGAGGAGCAGGGCCTGGAAGCCGCTCTCACACCCTTCCAGGCCCTGCCTTGGCCCGAGCTTTTTCCATGAGCAATGAATAAATGATACAACAAGAAAAAGCTTTCCAGATGGCGGGGAAAGTCTAACCTCAGGTCATCCCTCGTGCTAGATTAGAGGGTTTTGCCCCGCGGGGACAAAACAGGGCAGATCTGCAAGTTGTTCCTGGCTCGGAGCTGGCTGAGCGTGGTGCAGCTGACGCAGGTTTAGGCCCCTGTGCTCAGCCTTTCTAAAGAGCAGAGCCCACTGCCCTGTCCAGCTTTCCCACGTGCTTCCCATGACCCCAGCCCCAAGCCTGGCAGCCCGGGGGACCCCAAGTGCCCAGACCAGAGCCCAGGACAGCCAGACTGCAGCCTGGCTGCTGTGGGGCTGTGCCCAGGGACAACCATCACGGCCTAAAGGGGATGGGGGTTGCTGCTCTAGGGGGAATGACCCCGTTTTTCCTCCAAGACAAAAGAGCTCTATTGACACACACACACACACACACACACACACACAAAAAAAAAAAAAAAAGGCAGCATTGCAAACCCATTGCCAATCCATAGGGATGCATGTCTGGAATTTTCCAGTCTTCTCCTCTGCAAAGCTAATAAAGATATACACGCACACACCGAGAGTGGGGAGATGCTGTGACTGATGGGCCCTGGCACAGCCCTCAACACTGCGCGGGGGACGGATGTTTCCATCCCGCCCCGGCGCTCTGTCTGCTCCAGCCATGCACGGGCAGGCCGGAGCACGGGCAGCAGGACAGGACACAATGAATTTCAGGATGGAAGGAGGATGGAAGATTCATGGGCCTTAAATGTGGCTGTTTCCTGCTGGCAAGGAAAAGGCTGAATCTGTTGGGTGGAGAGCAGCTTTTATTCTCATTTGGGTGCATTAGTGACTCGTGATCGATAGGCAGTGAAAAAAAAACCATCCACCATCTCCCGGCTCTCTTGCTGCAGCATCCATCACTGTAATCCATGTTTAATGGCTTCGAAGGAATAGCCTTTCCAATCTGCGAGGTCCTCTCGCTATGCATTTCCTCCAGTAATGAAGGACACCGGAGGACATCTCCCTTCTTTTTCCCAGCTGCGATCCGTCTTTGCCTGCGCTGGCGGCAACTCGGCTCCTCTGCTTCCCTGGGGATGGGGCTCATCAGGCTCTCCTGAAGCTCCTTCCATCCCTTAATTTCCATGTGCTATTTCTCCAGCTGTCTGAGAACACTGGAAAGCAAAGGGTTGTCCTCTGCGGGAGCAGGCCGGCCTCAAGGGCCAGCGTGGACGTGGGGATGACCTTCGGGGTGGGACGCAAAGCCCTCTCCAGCGCCGCGGCACTCCACGGAACGCCAAGGAGCTCCAACCTTCTGCACTTCCTCCAAGCTCTTCTCAGCATCTCACCCAAAGGGATCTCTTTGCCAGGGTGCTTCCTCACCAGAGTGTTGAATATTTCCTCACGAGGGGCATTGCAGTGACCAGGTGATGTCTGAGCATCCCTCATCCCGCTCCGGAGCTCGGGTGTGCTCCTAACGGGAGATGGAGCACGGAAAAATGGGGGAGTATCTTTGTAGCTTGCGACTTACAGTACTCATTAATTTCCCTGGCCGGAGACCACTTCTAAATGCCAGTTAGGGAATTTTAAGAAATATCACTGTTTTCCTTCAAATATCTCTGCAGCAACCTCCAAGTCAAGGAGATAAATAGGCGAGCTGCTTTTCTCCTGCTTCAGATCACTTAGAGCTGCTGATTGATAAATCACTGAAGTTGCCCGTGACAAATGGCACAGGGTGGCCAGGTCTATAATTAAAATGTCTCTTAACTCCCTGGTTATCTCTGACATATTGGGACCGGGTGCACTATGGCAGCAGGAAACAACAGGCTTGGGGCTCCACCTGGAAGAAAATGGGTCTCGGGAGAGAGAAAGTGGCACTGAAACACCTGGAAACGCTTCACATTCTGGGAGGTGTGACAGGAATTGCCAAGGCGAAGCTCTCCCTGGAAGAGGCCACTTGGAAGACAGCGCTTATTGCCACCCTTGGCATGGACACGTGAGGCAGAGGCTTCTGGAAACGTGGCTCAGCAGTGGGATGGAGTACTGCGGAGCCACTGGGAAGCTTCCCAACATCTCCCAGCACCCATGGGCATCGCACGCCCCATCCCATTAACCCCCATCCACCCGGCCCCAGCCGGGCCCCATGGTTCCAGGCAGGAACGGGGAGCAGCGTATTTATCTTCCTCCTCCCCAGCAATTAGGCGAGCGCAAGAGCAGGCACTCGGATTCATTATTGATGGAGAGCGGGAAGCCCCTCTGGATGCATTGGGGCTGGCCCGGGGATGGCACTCGCTGCAGTAACCAGCCACGTTGAATTAGTGCTCTGCAGCGCGCGGGCGTCGGAGGAACCCGGCCTCGCCGCCCCGAGATGGCCAAGCCGCAGCGGACAAGCGGGCCGGAGCTGGAGCGGGAGCTGGAGCAGAAGCTGGAGCAGAAGCTGGAGCAGGAGCAGGAGCTGGAGCTGGCACTGGAGCAGGACTGGAGCTGGCACTGCAGCTGGAGCGGGAGCGTGTGCTGTGCCTGCATCCCTGGGTGTCCGTGGGAAGCCTAGCCGAGCTCTCGAGCTCTGCAGGGCCCACAAAGGGCGAAAGCAGAGCCGCGAGCTCCGAAGCAGCAGCCGGGGAGCTGCTCAGGTCCTGGTCCATGGATCTCCTTCCTGGAAAGGAGCTGCAGCTCCAAATGCCACCTGTAACGGATGGGCACAACCCATTTGACATCCCAGTTACCAGCCCGGCTGCTCCTCGCCTCGGCACAGCCCAGGCGCAGGACGACCTTGGGAAGGATTTCGCTGCCTGGCTTTTCCCAAAGTGTGTCTTGCTCGGCCGGCTCGCTGGGAATGGCCAATTCCAGCAGGAGCAGGCGACCTGCGAGGGCATCCACAGCGCCAGACTGGAGCCCGGGCCTGGAGCCACTGCCGGAGCCAGCCCATGGACGCCCCCTGCCCGGCTGTGCACAACCAAAATCCCCCAGCCCAGTGCCCGGGGGTAAATGATATTAGTGGCACCTCATTAAAAGTTGCACCAAAGCCTAATTCGGGCCATCCGTGAAGGCCCCTGGATGAAACAACCATCCATCGCCTCTCCAATGCGGGCTGCATTCCGGCACGCTGTAACTTGTCTCACTTGCCCGTTTCCCTGCCCATTGGGGACTTCTGTCCCGTCCCTCCTCTGCCGCCCGTGTCCGTTCCCCTCCCAGCCCAGCCCAGCCAGATCCCAAACCTGTGAATCTGGAGTGACTCCTGGGGCCAGCGGCCTCCGGGACACTCCTGTCCCACGAGCTGTGAAGAGCACTTGGCCAAAAGTGACTGTCCCCAAGGAAGGGGAAACCCATGCAGCAATTGGGGATGTTGGATTCCCAAGGAGAGGGGGCTCTGGAGTGGGAGATGAACAGGTCCGTTCTCCTCCTCTTCCTCCTCCTCTTGTGGCACAGGGGTGCGAGGAGCAGCCTCCCCTTCCTGGGGTCTGGATACAGGAATGTGGCTGGGAAGGAGGGAGGGAAGAACCTGGGACTCCCACAAAAGCAAAACCCTCCCTCTCATTGACATTTTCGCTGACACTTTCCTGCAAGAGAAGTGGCAAAACTGAACCCAAACAAAGGCCTTTGGTTACCAACTGCTCCTTGGCCTTTGACCACGGGGACCCCAAAACCACACAGGGGCCGGGAGCCATCCAAAAAGATCTAAAAGTTTATTGGTCAAGGCACAAAACCCTCCAGATTCTGGAATTTAAATAAATTCAAGACAACAGGAGACCCATTGACTCCAGCACGGCAGCGGCACCTCCGCTGGCCTCGGGGCACTGAAGACAGCGATGACCCCGCAGCACCGGAGCCTGCCGTGCTCAGCGGGGCTGAGCAGGGGCTGCAGCAGGTCCCAGAGGGCAGCGCGGAGCCCCGGCCTTCCTCCTGCTCCCAGGGCCCTGGCCAAGCTCCTCACCAGCCAGCGGGGCCTCAGGAATTGGAAGGGGCATCCCAATCCTGCCCCCGAAGGCACCTCAAGCTGTGGCTGGGGGATGGAGGCCGAAGGTCTCCCAGCACCAGCACGACGGGGAAGGGGGCCCACGGGTTCACCAGGGATGGGGAAGAGGGGGAGGATGGGGCCATCCTGGCAACAGTGGCCAGTCCGAGTCAGGGCGTTCGTGCATGTCCTCGGTCACCCGCAGCTCATCCCTGCGGGCTTTGGGGACGGGGACATTTCATCAGGACCAGGGGGCTGCTCTGCGCTCTGTCCCGGCTCCCGTCAATCGATTTCTTGTTCGTTTTCTGGAAATGGATGGGGGAAAGAAGAAAAAAAAGAAAGAAATTGGCAAAGAAATTATAAGCCAAAAGCAAAAAGCTGCGTTTTATAAATCTATCAGGAGGGGGGAAAAAATAGCTTTGGAGAAAAAAGCCATTAATAACGGGGGCAGAGGAGGGAGGGCGGAATGAGCAGTGATTCAGCCCCAGCGGAGGCCAAAGCGCCGCCAGGAAAAGCCTGCCAGGAATACGCGGGGAGGTGAACGAAGAGGCAGAGGAGACCCGAGGAGGGGAGAGGCAGGAGCAGGGGCTCGGAGCGCCGCCGGGGGGAAAAAATAGCTTTGGAGAAAAAAGCCATTAATAACGGGGGCAGAGGAGGGAGGGCGGAATGAGCAGTGATTCAGCCCCAGCGGAGGCCAAAGCGCCGCCAGGAAAAGCCTGCCAGGAATACGCGGGGAGGTGAACGAAGAGGCAGAGGAGACCCGAGGAGGGGAGAGGCAGGAGCAGGGGCTCGGAGCGCCGCCGCATTCCCGTGAGAACGGGAGTCCCGGGCGGGCGCGCGGGCCGCGGCCGCGCTCACCTGCTGCGCTCTCGGCGCTCCTCAGCGGCTGCAGGGCTGCGAGGGCACAAGGGGACCCCGTGAGCGAGCGGCACGGTGCCTGCACGGCCTGGGACGCCCCCACGCGTCTCC